TATATATATATATATATATATATATATATATATGAAAAAAAGAAAGCGTTCAGCTGTAGCACCCTTCCGGTGCCTAGCTGGCATGCCACCCGAAGGAAGCACGAGCGCTGGGATACTGCCAGGTTGCCCAGGTTCCCGTTTACTTGTGCAATAGATATTAAGCTGTAAGCTCCCATGGGAACGCGTCTTGCAGTGCAAAACAGGCAATACTAATCATTGACGATAAGATGGGCAAGACGAAGTAGGTAAACAAAAGCACAATTTGTGACGGAGTTGTAAGCTGGTTTGAACGACGGATGAATTGGACCAACAATATGTGAGGCATTTTGCGTCTGCCGCCACATTCCTCAACTCCGCTTGGAGACCACAACACTGCAATAGGTCGCACGTGAGTTTGCGAGAACACCGAGTGAGCCTTCAAGCAGGTATATTCTATCCTGCTCAGTGGAAAAACTCTGGAAAAACTTGAGGTCCGCCAGTTTTTTTGTTGGAGGATGTAAATCATCCCCCCATGAAGTCAACGCCCCCTTTGTGGAGAAAAAAAGTTGGTACAAAGTCATGGGAATGATTTCCAGTGCTTTGAAGTGTACAGATCGAGTCACACAGATAGCATGGCGCAGCTTTTCATTCATTTTTTCTCCCTGGTTTATCACCGCCTAGTTGTGCAGTTAGCTCATCATCTCCGTTTTCCTTTTCAGGTGTGCCCCGTTAATCCCCGAAGGCTCCAATGATTCGGCAGAACACGATCACCTTTGGTCGTCTGCTGACGAACATACAGCCCTGTCAACACCACCGTCCGCTCACACACCTTGTTCTAAGTCTCCACCTCACATCCAACATACTCTAGAATTCGATGAGTTAATTGTAGAAAATAAAGAGGAAGGTGAGATTGCCGATGAAGAAGATGAGCAAGACGAGGATTTGCTTCGCCAGTCTCACCAAATTGCTGCGCAGAGGCAGTGGTCTCGATCCCCCAAGGTATTGGACCGACGACCCCCACCATTGAGTCACTCAGGGAGTATGGACGTTGATGTCAGGGAACATAGACCGTCGACTCGGATGATTAAACTCAAATCGGGTTATCCAGATATGGAAGCTGTTCGTCGACGAAAGCGTGCTCACAGTCCACAAGCTCGAACTCGATCTCCGAGTTCCGTTCATCAGTCACTATCCGGTCAAGGTAGGTACTTACCTTACTGTTCTGTTGCTAACGCCCCTATAAGTTCAAACCTTTAAACGGCATAATGCATTCTGTTCGTGGACATCCTTCTCACTCTCAACATAAACAATGACGTCAATATTGACATTTCCGCCTCAAAGCCGTGCAACAACATTGTCTACTTAGGCTTTGGATGAGGAGGATTCCTGATGCTGGTCTGCCACAAGTATTCTGAGGTTCCCACATCTTCAACCATTTAATTGGTTAATTCGGAAAGGAACTGATACCACGAATACCAGTTACATCGATTGACAGTTGTTGTTGTTGACAGTTTTTCTTTAAGATGCGCCGGCTTTATTTGGGGTATTCCGAAAGAACCTAAAGCTTGTCGCGCCTTCCATGAAACGTCTAAATTTATTGTTAAACTACAGTAGAGCCCAACTGACGATCAATCGCGAAATCGAATTCGACAGTAGTGTGGAGATTTTGGCTGCCCGTCGCCTCCTACATGCGTGCGCAACCTACCGAGGTTTGTCGAATGTTTGGTTGGCGAACCCGATTTCGCCAAGCCTGACTCTCTACCCACACTCGTTTCTAAGCCAACACGTTGTTTGATTAATCTCAGGCTGTCTGAATGTGTCACATCCCCAAGTAAAGCCGACGTAAAATGCACTTTGAATCGCCTCACTCAGCTGCACCGGCGCACCGTTTTACCCGAGCGACAGATGGATGGGGCTCCTGTATGTCACTCACCCTCTTTCCGGAGGAGAGAGCACCATTGATAGCTCTGCGCAGTAGTGCCCGCGCCATATGTAGGTGTATACGTGGGTAGAGCCACGTGGCGACCGGAAAACTGATCTAATGGCCGGGATTTTATGCAGCCGCGCAGAGCATTGCATTAGACTGCAATTTTTTTCGGCGATCATCTCAAACATCCCTCAATGGAGCAGCGGTTAGCTCTAACTTCTCAATAATATCGTGGAATTATTAAACGCATTGTGTTGCGCTCTTTAGTAGTTGCCTGTGTGTTTCTGCACTCCATCTTCGGGGTCACTATTTGCTAAAATTTTCGATTGTACGTTGTAGTCGCTCTTCCATCTGTCCTCAGATCGTGGTCGTACACCTCCTTCGCCACCAATGAGCGCTGGACAGTCTGGAAGCTCCCACCCAAGATCTACACTTTCCAGATCACAATCTGCCAAGAAGCAGCGTGTACTTCCCGGAACGAACCACTCCACTCGAGCGTCTGATCCCTGCGTCGCGGAGCGCGCTCCTTCGATCCACCGATGGCCTAGTTGCACCAGGGATAGGTCAAGATCATTCAGCCCACCTGATTCCTTAACGCGATCCCGTTTAGTTCCCCGAACTTCTGATTCAAAGCGTTCTGATTACCGGTATCCTGTCGATTCCAGACAGATACCCCACCCACGACGCGTCTCGACCCGGGACCTCTCTCCTCCAAGGTCGCGTCATTCCATCAATTCGCGTTTCGATCGGGACCGCCGATTTCCTCGCCGTATTGTATCTTCACCGTCCAACCACACCTACCGACGGTCTTTGGCTTGTCCACCAAGATCAGTGCCAAACACGGGTCGAATACAACGCCGTAAATTTTGATTCAGTACAATGACAGTGCCTACACCTGCGTTCTGTTAACAGTGGTTTGGTAGTTTTTGTCCATTCGACACCAAAGCTATCGTTCTTTTGGGTTCATTGTTGGATGTTCAGATTATTCCACCCCCTTCAGCCGGCTGTTCTTCGTCTCCTCTTCATTGCACCCATTTTGCATACCGGAGGAACTGTCGGCTATCATGTAGAATTCTGATAGAGAACCATACATTCCCTTTCTTTTTTTGACTTGCTTTTCGTCCTCGTTTTGGTTTTTCACTTTATCACTTTTGTACAGTCCATTTAACCAATTGGTCTGCCGATAAAATTATCTCGCCTTTGTTACATGCACTTGTTTTGATTTTTTTAGTTCCCGGTAAAATATTAGCTATCAAATGTTCATTGATCCAACGGTACGACTAATTATTCCCTTAAGATGTTTTGCTCTGTAGTTAAGCCAGTCTAGGTCTGTACTTTTTAACCGCTCTGCAGTCAGGCACTCCCCTTACCAGTCGCCAACCAAGGGCTCCTCACAACTTGGGGATGATTGTCACCACATTGGTTGTCAATCTGTCCTCCGCACATTGATAGCGTCTTTTCGAATGGTAAAGAAATCCTTCCAAGCCAAAGACCTACAGTCACCCGATCAACAATCCAATGTTATCAAATGAAAAAGTACTATCGGTAGAGGAACATTTTCCCGACTCCCAAGATTCAATATTTCACGAATTCCAAGGACGGACAGCTGGTACAGCCAACTGGCCACAACAATATAGCCCATCTTACCTGTGTGAGTCGACCGGAATTGGCTGGGTTCCTTAGAAATATGACATCTAGCCTCATCTGTATTGAGGTTGCTGCGTCATTTTTTTGAAAGACCATAACATTTTGAGGGGTATTAGATTAGGATCGCGGATCGTCTAAGATGAACGAACTTCCTCTGTCATGGCGTTCGGATGTTCGTTATCTGAGTGTATCCCGCATCCATCCACATCGGTACTGGATCCTAAATGTCACTTACAGGGCTTACCTCATGTTAGGTTTGCTTCTGGAAATCTCTCATAGGTCAGAAGATGCCTGAATAAGTTGCATTCTCCGGAAAACATTGGTTCCATTTTACCGTTCGCAGGATAGGGCCAAAGAGGCGCACGGGTGGTCTAACAACCGGACTATGGAGCATGTGTTTTTTATTGTCTGCTAGGTGGCACTTGTTTACCATAGGACAGCTATGGCATGTTTTATTTTAGACGTTCATCTTACGTTTTGTGTTTCTGCTAAAAATGCTGACAGGAATTCAGACTGATTTGCGGACCGAGACATTTCCGTGATTTGAATTGGAAAAAGTGCGTGACATTGGGTTAGAATAGGACTGGGTAGTTTCTACGAAATAGCAGCAAAGGAATAACCTTGGCCCGCGTATCATATAAACATAATTAGTTAAACTTCGTGCACCACCACACCAAATTTTAATGGTTCATGAAACAGGTCACCGGTTCTGAGAAACCAGAATTTAGCCGCCACTAGAAACAGACTCTCTGCGACTTTGGATGATACGAATGGGACCGTAGTCATTAAGAACCTTGCTGAGGCACAGTTTGTCGAGTATTATCGCTCCTCGGTTGAACGGTGGTGGAGTGAAAGCCATGCTGTCGCTACAGAAATGTGACACACAACAGCTTGAAAGGTACATGGGTTGCAACCCCACAAGTTCTTTCGTTCTCCAGTCCATAAGAAGTGTTTAGGACTCCTGCGGATAATCTATGGTCAGGAGTTACTGTTGGGCATTCGTTGCCAGAGCTTTGAACAGGGGTAGACTAACGGTGTAAATCTTGTCACATTTTTAATGCTATCTGTCGGAAAAATCTTTCGTACTCAGCTCAGCAGTGTAGAATAAGTCAAAATGCATCATTTTTCCCATCTTCATTCACTCAAGTGCATGAAACAGGAATCCGTGAGTTGAATAGGTGTGGACAACAATCAGGTGTAACGCAGCGACTCTCCGCAGCGGAATCTCAGAGCCTCATCAACCTCAATCATAACACGGCTATGATTGACCAGTCGGATTCTACTTGCACCATTTTCGTGCTCGCGGTCGAGTGCACACATCTTATGACATCATGCCACAAACTCATTCCAGTCGATTTGAACCGGAAACTGCATTTATTGATACTATTTATTACCGGCACGCAAGAATCACACTTGCGTTTTGCAAAATATCAGCTAACCTGTATAGCTCCAAACGTTCATTTCTACTGATCGCTTGAATTCCCCGAAAAAGTGTACACTCCACGCGGTCGGAAAAATCTCCAAAGCCGATTAATATAGAGTTCCTCTGGCTACCGAAGCTGGCTAAATTAGACGCTATTAGATACCTTTTGGTACCAACGGAGATGATATCCGTCACGTTATGAATTGGTCTTATCCGATACTCCACCCTGCTTCCTTAAGTTAACCAATCCATTCGATGTCCTATGAACTAGTTTCCTGCCAGAACGAGACATAGTAGAGAGAGTACCTCTGTACCTTCAAGCGCGCGAGATTTATGCTGGGCCCCAGCTTATATATTATACGCTAAAATTCGTCATCGGAGATGGTTGTGGGATCGAACACAGAGAACAACCAACTTGGAGAACCGATTCACCGAATAATTCATGGTAACGGTCACAGGTTGATTTTCTTGCTTCAGACTCCTGAAAATAGCCGCATGAAATTACGGTCAAATCAAGAAAAATGCTTCGGCTACTGATTCAAAATGTCTCACGTCAATCAGGTTATTTGTTTCACTGGAAAATCACCGGCGTATCGATGTTTTTAGAACAGAAATGAATTAGGTGTATGCACTCAATTGCCAATGAGAAAGAGGCACCCTGCTAGTGGGGTGTCCCATCAAACAGCTAGAAGCCCGGGTGGCAAGACATTTACGTTTAGAAAATTTTTCATCTGTTACAGTTGTAGGTCAATAAGTTATGGGTAACAGACTCACGGGAAATGTGATGGCTACACTGAATGAAATAAAATCTGGAATGTGAGTTGGTTTGTGGCCATTTCCAAGTTGGTCGAACACTAGATCAATCGCTTTTTCGCACGGAGGCATGGTTGTTCAGGTCTTTGCAGAGATCTAGAAGTCTCGAGATTTTGTCACTTGAACTCGTAGCGAAAAGCAAGTGCGGTGAAGACGACTATTTAAAATGGATGACCTGAGGATTGCGTTACGTTAAAAAATACATCGAAGTTTCAAGCGAAAATGAACATTGGAGATAAGGGGGGGATTTTAAGATTCCGCCATTTTAAAGGCGGTCGTATTTGGAACCACAAAATGAGTTCCGCTTTAATTCTCACCTGTAAAAAGCCTGAGTCCCTCTAGCCTTGAAAATCCCAGAGGTGCATGCCAAAATGTGCCCAAAAATTTTAGTGATCACTTGGTTGCACATGTTTATTTGAGTTCATTTAAAGTTGCGGTGACATATATTAGTAAAACATATGGGTGTCTCTCCAAAGGTACACCTGGGTTTGCACCATTCTTTCAACACGGTGGAAAAACGTCGATATATCTTGCCGCACGATCTCGATTGCAAAACTTATTCTTAGGGTAGGCCATCTGGTTAACTCTGCTCACTCTTTCACCAAAAAGTAACGCAAATTACTCAGGAGAATTATGGCGTAACGCAAATGGATGTTGCTTAGATCACACAAACCTCAATCGAGTTCACAAAAGGTGTTAACGTAGAGTGCTCAACCAACTTGGAACTAAGGAAAAGCCACATTTCAGAGCACTACGTCTACCAGGATCTCATCATCAGTCAAATAAAAGCACATTTCGGCCGAAAATCTCTTCCGTGTTATCTGACTTGGAAAACAGCATAGGAGAATCGAAGATGTATGTTTTTCCCTCGCATGCTAACACTTATCCAGGGGAAGTTTGCGACAAGAAGAACATAAACAGTCATACAAAAGACATCCGTGTTTTTTAAGAAAACAGGAGGATGAAAGCAGTCAAGTATGGAAAGGAAATTGTGTCAACGCAACCGAATCTCAAAATTAAATTCGCTGGTTGGTAACGGATGTGAGCACGCTCATTAAGCAGGCGGCTGAAGTAAGTGTTTTTACTGCTTTGTGCACAGTATAGTTGAAATGCCTGTTGAATACTTCACAAGCTCTATATGTGGTAGTCAAAGGGCAAGACAAAATGTTTAACGGTCATGTTCACTTGGTTAGTGAAATCCTCTGCTTTCTGCTGAGAAAGTGGTCATTATTGCAATAACTTTTTGGTTACTGGCTGTTTGGAACAAACGTACACGTGCATGAATAGTTAACAAGCTGTCTTGTTGGAACAGCGGCATCGAATACAGGATTAGGTATCTCTTGCCGTGGACTGCTCCTAATGGGAGATCTCCGTCTAGTTGAATTGAAACCTCCATAAGGACAGAATCTCACGAGAATGATTGTGCCAAAACATTGGATAGTTTAGAAAGCTCCATGTATGGTTGTCCCTATCAGAAAAGACCATCCACCAGAAGAAACTACTTTCAGCAGGTCTACTGAGTTAAGATCTAGAAAGAGGCTGTCTTTCTGATCGGGTTATAGAACAGTTTCTGAAGCAAATTCTGACAGAAATCCAACTTACAGGGGATAAAAATTTACCAGCTCAATTCACCGATGTACAGCCGACCTACTACAATGTCATCCAGAGCTATAATCCTGTCGGTCAAAACCCACATGGTTTTTATTAGAGTTTCTAACTCTGGGTCATTTGTGAGCATCTTTAGGACAGATGATCACAGTTGTCGTATGTACACAAACTTTAGGTGATGTGAGTGACTTAGTCTCAGGGCAGTGCTTGTTACTTATATCACTTTAGTCGCAGGTTGACCAGTTTAAAAAAGATCGGTAGTTTCAATTGCGCATCGGTCATTTTTGTAATTAACGCATATCTTAGGTAAACTGAGTGGTTGCGTTTTCAAATCCAGTTTACACTACGCCTATCACAAGCTTTTTTCGATAGCGACAGTTTCCTCTACAGTAACTTTCCCACGTCACAAACGTATTGTCAGCATTGGACTCACCTTATCACCTAGCCTGTGATCAATTTACGGTTGCTTCATCATGTTCCATTGGTTTACTGTCATAAACATTGCGATACACGTGGATGATTTGTGCCTACCCACCGTATTCGGAACTTTTTGCCTCAGAACTGCACAATATGCCCAGGTTTATCGCCGTCTACTTGTAGCTTGATTAAGCATGGTTATTTTGGACAGTTTGACAGGGTGTTGGATCACGACATATGCAGCCATAAAAAAATCTCAAAGGGACATTGTGCTTAGGTTGTCAGTACAT